AGAGATGTGTAGGGGCCAATGCAAGAAATCCTCCAACATCCTAAAAGGCAACATGGTACCACCAGAACCCAGCAGACACACAACAGGAAGACTTGATCATCCTAACCCAGAAGAAGTAGAAGAAAACGACTTTAAACGTAACCTTATGAAAAATTATGGAGACTTTTAAAGAGGAACTGAAAAACTCCTCTAAAGAAATGGAAGAGAAAACAAACAAAGAGTTGGAAGAAATTAATGAACCCCTCAAAGATACTCAAGAAAACCAAGAAAAAGCAATCAAACAGGTAAAGGAAGAAGTTAAGGACTTGAAGACTGAAATAGTAATAAAAAAAAAAACACAAACCGAGGGAATTGTGGATATGGAAAACTTGGGTAAATGAACAGGAACTACAGAGACAAGTATAAACAACACAATACAAGAGATAAAAGAAAGAATCTCAGGCGCTGAATATACTATAGAGGAAATACACTCATTGGTCAAAGAAAACATTAAATTTAACAAAGTCTTAACAAAAATAATTGGGAAATCTGAGACACCATGAAAAGACCAAACCTAAGAAAAATATGGTAGAAGAAGGAGAAGAACTCCAGCTCAAGGGCACAAAAAAATTTATTCAACAAAATTATAGAAGAAAACTATCCCAACCTAAAAGAAGTACATCCCTATGAAGATACAAGAAGCTTACCGAACATCAAATGAACTGGATCAATAAAAACAAACTTCTCCTTGCCATATAATAATCAAAACACAAAACATACAGAATAAAGAAAGAATAGTAAGAGCTGCAAAGGAAAAGGTCAAGTAACATAAAGGTAAACCAATCAGAATTACACCTGACTTCTCTATGGAAACCATGAAAGCCAGAAGGTCCTGGATAGATGTGCTGCAGACACTAAGAGACCATGGATGTAAGCCCAGGCTACTATACCCAGCAAAGCTTTCTTTCACCATCGATGGCGAAAACAAGATATTCCATGACAAAGACAGATTTAAACAACATGTATCCACAAACCAAACCTTACAGAAAGTACTAGAAGGAAAACCTCAACCCAAGGAAGGTAACTACACCCACAATAACACAGACATCTAATAATTCCCCACCAGCATAACCCAAAGAGAAACACACAAACACTACTACCAAAAAATAACTGTAGTTATCAACCACTGATCATTAATATCGCTTAATATCAATAGACTCAATTCATCCATAAAAAGACACAGGCTAAAAGAATGGATATGAGAACAGGATCCAGCCTTCTGCTGTTTACAAGAAATACACCTCAACCTCAAAAATAGACACTACCTCAAAGTAAAGGGTTAGAAAAAGATTTTCCAATGAAATGGACCTAAGAAACAAGCGGCTATCCTAATATCTAACAAAACTGATTTCAAACTAAAATCAATCAGAAGAGATGGAGAAGGACACTTTATACTCATAACAGGAACAATTCATCAAGATGCAGTCTCAATCCTGAACATCTGTGCCCCTAATAAAAGAGCACCAGCATATGTAGAAGAAACATTACTAAACATAAATCACACATCAAACCCCAGACACAATAGTTGGAGATTTCAACACTCCTCTCTCACCAATGGACAGGTCAACCAGACAGAAACTTAACAGAGAAATAAGAGAACTGACAGATGCAATGAATCAAATGGACTTAACATAAATCTATAAAACATTACACCCAAACAAAAAAGGACTTATCTCTAAAATATATAAAGTATTCAAGAAATTAGACATCAAAATTCTAAATAACCCTATCAAAAAATGGTGTACTGAATTAAACAGAGAATTCTCAACAAAAGAATTTCAAATGGCCAAAAGATACTTAAAGACATGTTCAACTTCCTTAGCTATCCAGAAAATGCAAATCAGAACTCTGAAATACCATCCTACACCTGTCAGAATGGCTAAAATCAAAAACACCAATGATAACTTATGCTGGAGAGGACGTGGAGTAAGGGGTAAACTCATCCATTGCTGGTGGGAATGCAAACTTGTGCAACCACTTTGGAAATCAGTGTGGTGGTTGCCCAGAAAATTGGGAATCAACCTACCTCAGGATCCAGTGATACCACTTTTGGGAATATACCCAAAAGATGCCCAATCATACTACAGAAGCATTTGTTCAACTATGTTCATAGCAGCATTATTTGTAATAGCCAGAACCTGGAAACAACCTAGATGCCCTTCAATGGAAGAATGGATGAAGAAAGTGTGGAATATATACATATTAGTACTACTCAGCGGTAAAAAAACAATGACATCTTGAATTTTGCATGCAAATGGATGGAAATAGAAAACACTATCCTGAGTGAGATAACCCAGACCCCCCAAAATGAATATGGTATGTACTCACTCATATATGGATACTTGCTATAAACAAAGAACATTGAGCCTATAGTTCATGATCCTAGAGAAGCTAAGTAATAAGGTGAACCCAAAGAAAAAACATATATAGACCCACCTGGAAATTGGAATCAGACTAGATAGCTTGACAAAATTTGGAAGCATAGGGGTGGAGGGTAAGAGGAAGGAGAGAAGAGGAGGGTTGAGGAGAACTTGAGGGAATGGGATAGTCAAGATGGAGCAAGGATAGATATGAGGGCAAGGAAAGAAATATCTTGATTTTTCTTTCAATATAAATCCAACCACACTGAATCTGATAGAAGAGAAAGTGGGGGCCATTATGGGGTGAGCAAGAAACCTGGCTCTAGAAAAATTCCAAGGAATCCACAATGGTGACCCCAGCTAAGACCGTAAACAATAGAGAGAGGGTGTCTGAACTGGCCTTCCTCTGTAGTCAGACTGATGATTATATTAAATGTCACCATCATTTAGCAATCAAGAAGATAGCCCATAGTTATACTTACATTTCAGTCTGAGAGAGGCAATTCTCTGACTGAGGCTCCCTCTACCAAGGTGTTTCACACTGAAGCCACGTTTAGCCATCACACACACAATGTCCTAAAATTTTGGGCTAATTTCACTCCTTTCTTATTTAAACTTTTACTTCTACCTTTGAAAACAATTCAGTATCAAATCAATATCTCTAGGTTTGGTTCCTGAGTCCCTAGCTTTATAATAAAGACATTCTACAGCTAGTGAGATGGTTCAGCCGGCAAACACGTGATGGTCAACTTGAGTGCTAAGTTGTCACTAACTAGAGTCATCTGAGTCTCAACATGGTGTTGACAGTTTCATTGTGGCCTGTAGTCACAGCTGTGTCACACGAAGATGAGACTTTTTCACAATGATGGCCTGTAACACGGAATTACAGGCTAAAGCAAGTGTGCTTATTCCCTAAGTTGATGTTTGCCATGGTGTTTTATCAACACAATTAGAACACTGTACTAACCCGGTAACCTGAGTTCCATTCCCGGATCCCACCATGGAGGGAAAGGATCAACTTCTAAAAGTTGTCCTCTGACCTTCATATGTGCCCCTCACCATACAAACATTATCATTATAACAATAGTAATAAATAAATAAAAGAAGGTTTACCTTTAAAATAAATAGATAGATAGATGATAGATAGATAGATAGATAGATAGATAGATAGATAGATAGATAGATAGATAGATAGATAGATTCTAGCTTTCGGTAAAATGAAGGGGGAAAAAAAGGAAGAAATATTTTTGAGGTCTAACATGTCAACACATTGTGGCCTGATGTTCCTTTATAAACATAGCATGTGGTATCTAAGAGGAAGTCAATCTAGAGAAATGTTTGCAGCATATGTGGTATTACGGTGTAAGTACTGGTTACATTTATGTTTGATTGTCGTTGTCTATCTTAAAGTTGGTGAAGATCTTCTCCCATTCAGTAGGTTGCCTTTTTGTCCTATTGACTGTATCTTTGCTTTACAGAAGCATCTCAGTTTCAAGAGGTCCCATTTATTTATTGTTGCTCTTATTGTTTGTGCTACTGGGGTTATATTTAGGAAGTGGTCTCCTGTGCCTACGCATTGAAGACTACTTCCCACTTTCTCTTCTATCAGATTCAGTGTGGTTGGATTTATATTGAGGTCTTTAATCCATTTGGACTTGAATTTCATGCATGGTGATAGATATGGATCTATTTTCATTCTTCTACATGTTGACATCCAGTTATTCCAGCACCATTTGTTGAAGATTCTTTCTTTTTTTTCCATTATATAATTTTATGGGAGAAGGGGAGGGAGTGGGAATTTGGATTGGTATTTTTTTTAAAAAAAAATCTAATAAAAAATAAAAAAGATCATCATCATGGGCCCAATTTTGCCATTATCTGTATAATTTATCAATGTCTAAAGTAGCCTTAGTACATTTCATTTTATTTTAAATAGTGCTAAAGGAAACTGTGCATTCTCAACAATGTTTGTTTTGTTTTGCTTGTTTTTCAAGACAGAGTTTCTCTGTGTAGCCCTGGCTGTCCTGGAACTCATTCTGTAGACCAGGCTGGCCTCGAGCTCAGAGATCCGCCTGCCTCTGCCACCCAAGTGCTGGAATTAAAGGCGTGCACCACCATTCCCCATTCCCTCAATAACTTTTAAATTTTTTGTTTGTTTTCTTATCTTCTCCCTTCTCAGACACTTGGCAGTGAAATCCTTAGCCATGTTCAATGCCTATATTCTATTACATCGGCCACATCTTGTCCCAATGAACTGAGCTTACTATCACAGCATTGAAAGGAAAAAATACTTGATGTACTGAAGTGCTGACATCGTCAAAGCTGAACAAGGAGAAACATTGGTGTCTGTACTCAGTGGTTATAACAATCAGCAGCCGCGTACCTTGGTGACTTGTCCTTATTGTTTTTACCAGAAAAGTATTTCACTGATTTCAAATGCTAAAATGGGGACATTTCCTATCACTTTCTTTTCTTTGACTAGTTCTGCATGGATGCAACCCACATTGAGTGACTCTGCCTTCTTTGGGGGATTAGAAGCATGAAACAGGTCCATCACACACTCACGTGGCTGTCCATCAGGGTAATCCCATGACCTCTTACCAATGCAGGGAAGTGTACAGAGGATGGAGGTAGAGGCCACCTGATGAGCGCCGAGGAGCCAACTGTGGCTACCATCTCCGGCGCAGTCTCTTCTCCTCTCCTGCTCGGCCCAGAGCCAGTCGCCTCACTGGGCATCACAATTTTCTGCAATTAGCCAGAATAACAGTGAGCAAACATGTCAAGGCAAAAGACAATACTAGGAGATGGGCTGGCTTGCAAGATGGTTTTAAGCTATTGTTTCTGCTCCAGAATTAAGAATAGTGGTGAGCCATTCTCAAAAATCATTTGAGTCCTCTCTATTTTTTACTGAAATAAATGGCTGGCTTTGCTCATGCCGTTTAACTCACTGTAAAAGACCCTGTGAAAACTGGTTGCTGTGGAGAGAATCATCATCCTCGTCCTAGAGCTGAGTGGACCAGCTCATCCAGAGGACGTCCACGGGGATTCTCTAAAACCACATACCAGTCAGTGGCTCTCACGTCTCTGAGTGGACCAGCTCATCCACGGGACGTCCACGGGGATTCTCTGAAACCGCATGCCTGTCAGTGGCTCTCACATTTCTGGCTCCAGTTTCTCCGATGTCTCTGCCACACTTTGTTTCTCCTCACTTGCACTGAGGCCAAGGTCTGCTTCTCTCCGAGGAAAACTTCTTTTTTTTCCCCAATTCCTTTTGGTTCCGTTACATCTTCTGTGGTCCTCTGTGGCAGCACGTTGTTCTGTCTGCCCTCACCGCACCCTTCCCCTTTACGTGACCAAAGGAAGCAGCAAATACAAGCCAATGTCAGTCCTCCTGTAAGGAGAAGGAAAGGACAGCCACAGGGTTGACAGCCTTCATGGCTGGCGTCAGGAAAGGCGTATTTGTTGGGCTCTTCCATGTAGACTCAAGAGGAGGGCCCATCTGCAATTTGAACATTGGCCATGGGGGGCAATTCCCACCAGACTGTTCAACAGAATGCAGGAAAATCTGATGTGTGTCCTCCAGAAACAATTATTGACTTAGAATTATCCAGTCCTGCTCATTCTTTGTATCCATATACCTGAGAACATTCTGTATGAACTGTAGAATTGCAGTTCTAAAATGAAGATTCACATTTTTACATGTGTTTTCAAGTTTTTTAGGTTACATTTTACTCAGTGTCGGAACGGGCCTCTCACAAGTGTGTGTACACACGTGCATGTGCTATGTCACACACATGGAGATCTGAAGGACAACCTTCAGAAGCTGGTTCTCACCTACTCTGTAGGTTCCCAGGATCAAACTCCAGTTGCGAGGCTTGGCAACAACCATCCTTACACTGAACCATCTCATTATCTCCAAAAGGGGGCACCTGGGATCGTCTGAAAACTAAGCAAGACCCAGCAGTCTGGATCAGAGACCATCGGATTCAAAGCAACACCCACCTCCCTCAGAGTCTCTACCCCTTCGATGGACAAGCAGGGGGCAAGACATTTCTGCTCTTCTGAGTTCCTATTAAGGTTACAACGTCTTAGGTTTGTGACCTTAATTACAGTTTGGCCAGATTAGTAATTGCTTTCTCTGGTAAATACGCTTGAAAAGAACACTTTCTTCTGCTGCCTGAATACTGGTTCTCATAGCTTTAAACTTTCTGGTCCTTGTTTTGTTTTGTTTTTCTCTCTTTCTGTTGGTGTCCTGAGACTTTGAGAGTACAAGAAAGGAAAATGGTTACAGAGAAACTTACCTATGTTTATCCTGGGCATGTAGTATGTTCCTTTAACCAGACAACAGTGCACACATGCACACATTTGGCTGAATTCTGTTTTAGGTGCCCATGTGCTTGAAAAGAAAAATAAAGAACAAAACTTATCTTAATCTTTATTTCAATTTGGCCTTTTTTGTATTTCTAAGTCTATATGATGAAAATTTTGTAAGTATTTATATTTCAACATCATTATCAGATAAATGAAAGATAAAATGCGATTAGCAATTATTAAAAAGATTTTGTTTTGTGCTAACTAGTTTTTCATATGTGAAGACTTATTTCTACAAATCTTTAAAAAGATAACAAATTTTATTGAAAATTGCTTATCTTTGCAAGCATTAACAATGGAGGGATTTTATACTTTTCTATTGATAGAGCTCATTTCTGTTTTAAACATCAGGGCATCTTGTCTATGAGACTCTCAGACTGGAATAATAAATCTGTGATGCTCGCTGATTCCTGTGGTTCCAGAACCCCTAAACGCCACCTGAGCACTCAATAGTTTCACTTCAATTCATCAGTCCTAAATGAAAAAATTGGAAATACCGACACGGTTTGATGTCCCTGAACCCACTGCCAAGCTTACTGGAAGTCTTCCTCCCTGTATGGTGGACTTTGTGGCTTATCTCACTCACCTTGGCCATAAATATGACCTTACCCATCTGCTCCCGCATCATCACTGCTGGGATGGATGCCTTGTCTTAGGGAGATATTTGCACGTTTATGGGGACGTTTTGTTTATGGCTGGTGCTAACCTGGAGGGGTAGATATTTGCACGTTTATGGGGATGTTTTTGTTTACGGCTGGTGCTAACCTGGAGGGGTAGATATTTGCACGTTCATGGGGATGTTTTTGTTTGCGGCTGGTGCTAACCTGGGGGGGTTAGGATGCTGTTACTCATCTCAATCTATTTCCAGGCAGGTAACTGAGGATAAAGAGCAAAGGTGCCCCCCATGTGCAAGGCCTGGATGCAAGTTCCATTTTCATCTTCACGCGATGCTTCTCACAGTCAAGTGCAGATCAAAGGTAAGGTTCCAGGCCTGGGGCTTCCTGCGGACATGTGAGTCATTTCATGTGTTTAGGGTCACCTTTTATGTGACAATCAGCCTAGCCTCTGTTACTTTGTGAGCAAAATTAAATGTCTGAGTCCAGACCACTGCTCTGTGTCACTGGCATACACGGTAGGCTGTGCAGGAGTGTAGAACGAGTTGGTTATAACAGAAGTTGCTAGTTCCTCCCACTGAGCAGGAAAGTAAAATGGATAAGGAGCAAAATCCGAAGAGCAGGCTGGCCACCTGGTGGCTGTAATCACTCACTCTCTTCCCCTTTGTCTTCTTGTGGCTCACTGCTTTTGCCTGCTACTAGTAGATATCCCCACTCCACGCTGACACAACCAGCTGCTTACCTAGAAGATGGGTGTCAACATGGCCAGGAGTTACCGCATATTTATTGGAGGTACACTTAGCACTTTTTCTTTTAAATTACATTTCCAATGGCTTTCTAACAATACCCCCAAAAGCCACCTCGGTGCCTATTGTGCCTCCTGTCAGAGGATGGCAGCCATGTGAATGGAACTAACGCCCAGTCCGTACACTGCAAGGGTTTCCCCTTTCACTTCCCTTCAGAGTGTGCGCACACGCCTCGCGTCTCAGAGTGTGTAGCAATGCTCCCAGCACAAATCAGAACTTCCCCTTTGCTTTGTTTGGGACACCAAACAACACCAGTGTTCAGTAGCCTTAGAAGTTAAGGGTGGGTATTCCACCTCAGGTTTCCCAGGGGACACTACAAAGGTAAACACCAGCTTTGACATATGAAAAGGCCGAGGTGGCTGGGCTTCTCTGAGGCCCCAATAGAGACAAAACTACTTTTTCCTGTTCAAAAGAACAGAATCAGAGTTCTACCCCAGGTCACGAGTGGAGATCCAACATTTTAATGAATTCAGAGGGGCCTATCAATCATATGGCTGAAAGTCTAGCACCATAACTAGTCTGCGTGCCAAAGGCAATGGAGAGAGGGACTCTAGAGGCCAGGGAATGAGTGAAGACACAAGGACCTACAGGTACAAGGGGCACACTTGACTCACTTTAAGACAAGGCTCTCACCCCTGGTCTCAAGGGCGTATTTATAAGTCAAACATTTCTGGTAAAATGTCAGTTAACAGAAATGTTAAAACTGACATTTTACCAGAAATGTTTGTGTACTGAGTTGCATCATCATCATATTTATTGCTAACTCATGGTTCCCTGCACATCTGGTTACTACTGCCTTATCTGACTTCTTCCAGAGATTAATACCATGGCAATGTTCTCTAAAACGTATTTGACTCTTAAGGCCCTTTTGTTGGTGGTGCTGATTTTCATTTTGTGTTTGTCTCCTTGTTTTGGTTTTTTGTTGTAGTTTTTGGTTGCTGTTTGGATCTTGTCTTTCTGTATCGTGTTTGTTGATTTGGTTTTGATTTTCTCCCCATTTGTTTAGGAGGTAGACTGGCTGTGTGCATCCCAGAGGTCACAGGACAACTTTTCAGAGTCAGTGTCTCCTCTGCCGTCCACCTCAGGTCCCTTGTGCTGGCCTTCAAGCACATTTACCTGCTGAGCCACCTCCATGGCCATGCCTAGTCTTGCTTTCTGAGACAAGGTTTCTCTGTAATGCAGGATGTCCTAAAACAACTAATCCTCCTGCTTCCATCTACCAAGCATTAGGATAGACATGACATCACATTCAATTCAGACCTGTTTTATTGTTGGTGTGTGTGTGTGTGTTTGTGTGTGTGTGTGTGTGTGTGTGTGTGTTACTCCGAGAATGCATATGCACACGTAAGCAAGTGTATAGAAGTCAGGGTCCATTTTGAGTGTCCCAGCTGGCATCAATTTGTTCCTTGAGATGCGGTCTCACCCTGATAGCTGAGAACTCACATATATATATGATTAGAGAGAAAAAGAATAGGAAGTAAAGGATTGAGAGGCAATGAGAAATTTCTATGAGAATCTCCAACATCTTTCTTTGGAAACTCTATAAACAATCATGGTGAATCATTCAGCAGATCCCTTAAGATGAGGAACTTCAACGTCTCGATAGAATGAAATAACACAAGCTTTGTCATGCTTGTTATGTTTCTAAGTAGCTTAAGTATCTGTCATGAGGTCCTTCTTAGACCAGGCTCCATATCTACGGCATTACGGTTCGAAGAAACAAACACTAGGATCAGGTTCTCAGAGATCCGGTTATATCCCTGACAGGCCTTTCTTGCTGTCCAGACTTTTGTCCTTATACATTTAACTTCAGTGATCCCCAACTTTCTTAGTGCTGTGTTATGGTGTCCTCCCCAGCCATAAAATTATTTTTGTTGCTACTTTATAACTGTAATTTTGCTACAGTTATTAATCATAATGAAAATATCTGACATACAGAATATTGGATATGTGATCACTGTAAAAGGGTCATTGGACCCCCAAGGGATCATGAATCACAAGTTAAAAACAACTGGATTAAAGAGTATTTAACTATAATTCATAAATTCAAATATATCCTTTAGAAGGAAATAAAACATGCCTGTTTGGGACCTCATATGCAGACATCAACTTGGTTGTCTGGCTCAGAAAGGTATAGAAAAATCTCCTCTGACATGTGAAACCCAAGAGAAGAGCTGACAATGTTGAGAAATACCAGTGAGGATGAGGAGGAAATGCTCGTCCTGGAACCCTAACAGGGCTCCTCTTTTCTTCAAGACCTCAGGCAGCTAACTGAAATACCTGGGAGTTGATGTGGCCTGAAGTAAGCTGGTAATGGAAGGACAAAAGTAAAACAATGGCCCAACGCCTCACTCGGAAGCTGAAAGAAAGCCATGCACTGTGTTATGGTTTAGATGAGGTGTTTTTCCGAGGTTCCAGTGTTGGAACACTTGGTCCCCAGCACACAGAGTGTATAAAACAAGCCTGGCGTAGAGTAGGCAACTAGGAAAAAGCCTTTGAGGGTTAGACCCTCTTTGGCCTGTGGTCTGCTATCTGCCTCTTGGTCTATGCCAAAGGCAGAAAGAATCTCGACTACATTTTCTCCCAGCCGTTCACTTCCCTGACAAGATGGAACAAAAGTTCCTAGAAAGAAGCTGTATCTGGCCATGAACAAAAGCTCCTGGAAGGAGTTCCTGAGTCCACAGAGACCGGCGGGCCCACTGGAATTTCACTGCTGTGGAGAGATTAGAATTTTGTAGGCTCAGAAACTAATTACTTTATCTTGTGCCAGTTCGAGTGTTCCGAAACAGCCATTCATTGCCCCATCCTGCACATGAACTAATACCTCATAATAATAACTAAAAACCTCTTAGAAATTATTAACTTAGCAGAATCCCAGCTTCCACCAATCCAAGGACAGAGAATGTCATCAGAGAGCATCTTGGGCTTAGACAAAAGTTCCCCCCATCTCTCTGCTGTACCCACTAATGTATTTTAAAGTTGCTTTGATTTATGATTTCCTTTGTTCTACAAAACTACAAAAGCCCCATGAAACTGCTCCCACATTGGAACATGGAATTTGGGGTAACCTAAATCTCTGTTCCTGGGCAGTGGTCGCTCATAATGATTCGAAAATAAACTCTCTCTCATTCCCTTTAAGATGAGAGCTGAAAAAAGTCTCTCTGATATTTTAAGTTAAAATAAACATTCCTTTTAAACTGTTTCTACTGGGCTTTAAAAAAAATCTTTCTTTTTATTTATTCTTTGTTTATTCCACATCATGCCTCCCAATCCCAGACATCCCCTACCCTAAAAACAAAGCAAAATTTAAGAGGAAAAAAAGGAAGAAGGGGGAGATCTCATCATGGGAGCGGCAGGTGACATGGTGAGTCACGCAGTAAACCGCTTTATCCATACATTTTTACAGCAGGCGTTCATTGCGAAGAACCATTTGTCTCTGAAGGCCCCTTCTAATGGGGATTTTTGATACAGAGTTGAAAAATAACTAATATGCCTAGCTACTTTCAACAAAAATTGAGAGTGATGATTATGTCTGAGAATATAAATAAAAAGGGTTAAATACAGAACCATGGGAAACATTAAAAATTCCCATCTTTACTGAGGTA